TCACCAGGTATTGAAGTGAGCCTCAGTGACTTGTACGCCCCCCCCCCACCCCCTTCTAATTTATTACCTACTTAACTGATAGTAATAGCTTTGCTGTCCTTCAGTCCCCTGACAACTCATCTGTTCTTAATGAGTTGTCAAAAATGATTGAAAATGGCTCTAGTCCTCTCTGCCTGTTCATTAAGAACCTTTGGGTGAACGGGAGCTGTCCTTGGTGATATGTAAGTATTTAATTCAACTATGGATTCATTCACCTATTGTTTTCTCAGTCCTTTCCACCAACCTGACAGGCTCTTTCTTAAATATCTCGCTTTCCCTCCGACTGTTTTAAAAATACTTTCATTAAATACTAGGGCTACCTACATTAAAGACTTCTGCCACTATAGCTGTGTTGGGCAGGGGTGTGAAGAGGTGTGATTCCTGAATGACAAATTGTGCTGGCAGAAGCACATGGTGTAGATACAGCTGCACTTTTAGCAGTATAGCTTGTTTTGTTTGCTGGTATAAGCAGAGTCCACAACTAAGAGTTATTTGCTGGTAGAGTGTACCGGTACAGCTATCTAAAGTCTTTAGTTCTTTAGAAAATGATTCTCCCAGAACCTACATTTAACTGCTGTTGCATGGACCAGATTTTCACTGCTCTGCATTTTTCCTTAGAAATTGCATTGTCTCTTGCATTTTCTAAGCATGTCACCAGGTAGCCATACAATATAAAATATTAGAAAATAAACACGACATACCAAGAAAATCTATGAGGCACAATAGGCAAACAATGCAGAATATGGTTCAAGTTTTTATCAACAAAAATACAATAGAAGACATTTCACCTAACCATTTTAAGAGCTGTTTCTATAGTTCAGATGGAGCTCTGTGAAGAATATCTGTACCTTCAGTGCTATTGATTTGGTCACACAGGGTCAAATTCACTCATCCCAAGAAACTGGGCTTTGTGTCTAGATTGCTGCAGGGGCTTTGGGTGAATTCACCCCCTACCCACAGACAGAGCATGGGCCCGCAATGTAGCCACTTTACCAGCCTCTGGGACAGAATAGTGGTTATTCCCTCTCCATACATACTACATGTGTTGGTTTGGCCTCTGTAACCATATAATTCCCCATGCTGTGCTTCTGTATCAAGCCCATCACTAAATCACCCCGCCATGCCAGCCAAGTCCCAGAGCCAGCATAGAGTGGCACCCAGGTTTCCTCTAACTGCACATTCGTTGGGCAGCCCTATTGGGACGCTTTAGTACAGACAGCCTTGCATGTGCCCCCAATGCCAGAGTGAATTTCACTCACAGCATTTTTCCTCTGAATTAGGTGTTACCTCGCAAAGCACATTAAGATGCTGCTGTTGCTTGGCAGGGTGCCACAGAAACGGTTTGCCAGATCTGTAAACCATTTGGCATAAGCAGGAAGAACTGCCTGAAGCCATCAGCCTCCTATTTTGTCATTTGATGAAGATGCTTTTTCACTAGCGTTATTCATGCGTAAAACACACACCTTGAACATGCATATCTAGCAGTTTTTCAGGGCGCCATTGCTCTTCATTAGCACAAAGATTTATCTAAATATAGTTCAGGTACATTAGCTCACACACACAGGGTATTTAAGTGCAGGCACTGTTGTTTCTCTAGCACATTTTTTTAAGTGCAGTGATGCACAAATGTGCTGTGAACTTAGTAAAGCACATACTGATGCGTTCTTTAGTCATGAACTTAACAAGCTTGTGTTTTTCTTGCGTGTGCAGCGTTTGGTAGGTTATGAATAGATGAAAGAGTCCAGGTGAAATTGGAAAGGGCACAAAGTTTAAGCTTTCCTGAAGTTAGAAAATGTTGGGTAAGTTTTCATTTTCTTAATGGGGTTTGGTGTCCGTTAGATTTGGCAACAAACAAAGCAGGAATGAAGGAAAGAAAAAGAAAAAACACCCAAACTTTGGATAATTTTGATTCATTTGAAGTCAGGAAACTTGTAAAAAAGCCAATACTTCTCAGATACCCAGTTTGACTTCCAACCCAAAATTCTATGGAGAAGCATTTGAAATTTTGGGTGATTCTCCAAAATACTGTGGGTCAGCCATTGATAGCTGAGTCTTGTAATGGTTTCAGGTTCCATCTTCAAGATTTAAGGTCATTTTATTATATTGTGTGGCTTTGTTAAAAGGTGTTTGGGACAATTGAGAAGTCTATAGGGAAACCCAGTTTAAGATTCTCTGGCTAAAATAGGAATGCTCAAGATAGTAACTCTATAATCCCTCTGAACCAAAGGTGTTTCTATTGGAAAACAGTGACTTTCACTGGCACCATTTTAGCTCACTCAGACCCAATGTGATATTATTAGAATGACTGCAGTTCATGTATTGTGTAAGGCATCATTCCCAGGAAAGTATCGAACGGCAGAGGGCTTCAAGGGAACTATGACAATTTACAACTGAGGAAGTGCCCCTTTGTGTGTAGGGTAGCTGGGTCTCATTAGATATTAATGAAGCCATCGACTCATTCACTTTAGCCAGGTATTTTGGAGGTGATCTGCTATAGGTCTAAAACTGTTATGATTTTCTTGTAACAGATAAGAGTTGTTTAGGTTCGTTGGGCTAGCTCAAGATTAAGAAGTGACTCGATCTACAAGTGCCTACACAGAGTAAAGATTTCTGACAGTAGAGAGCTCTTTAATCTAGCAGAAAAGACGTAATGAAATCCAGTCGTTGAAAGCTGAAGCTACAGAAATTCAAATTGGAAATAAGGTGCACATTTTTAATAGTGAGGGTAATTAACCATTGGAACAACTTACCTAAGGACCTAGATTCACCATCACTTGAAGTCTTTAAGAAAGACATCCACTCTTGATTCAAAGACATGCCATAGCTCAAGCACAAGTTATCAGCTTGCTCGAGAAATTACTGAGTGAGTTTCTATGGCTTGTGCTACGCAGGAAAACAGACTAGATCATCATACTGGTCCCATCAGGCCTTAAAATCTATGAAACACTGAGCTCTGGTACAGCTCCTATACTAGAGGACTAATAGACATTAATATAATAAATCCTGGTAGCACATGTCCAGAATAAAAATATATTAAAATAATTGAAATAAAGATGATGAAATATGCTGTTTAAATTCCCTTTGTATTGGACTAGGTTTCTTAATGAACATGTTCATTTTGGGGGCACAGTTCTGCAAGGTACTGCTTAGCATCCTCAAGGCTCACTGAGGGTCACCTCAACTGCTAGAAGAGGGCCTCATCCTCCCTGATTGAACTAACCTCGTTATCCCTAGCCTGATTCTTGCTTGCATATTTATACCTGCCTCTGGAAATTTCCACTACATGCATCTGACGAAGTGGGTATTCACCCACGAAAGCTCATGCTCCAATAAGTCTGTTAGTCTATAAGGTGCCAAAGGACTCTTTGGCACTTTTACAGATCCAGACTAACACGGCAATCCCTCTGAAGCAAGGCTCACTGAGTTAACGTGAGTGCATGGTTCAGTTCAATGGAAGTTGAGGGTGCTCAACCGCACCAACCCTAGTTAAGCATCAGGCAACACTGAGCCCTTGGTGAATTATTTGTGCAATGACTTTTTTTTTTCCCCGTGTGCAAACTCCAAGCCTTCCTCTACTAATTGCAAATTGTTTTTTAGCTTTTGGCAGATTGCCGCTACTGTGATTTTGTGAAAACAGACTAGAAATATTAGCAGAAAAGTAAATATTGCTGAAAAGGCTACTGTGTTGCCATGAAAGGACAGCATGTTATAAAACTATTTGTGTGACTGAAGTACTGTTGAACTCCAGCGCTTTCTTGTTTAATTAAACTTGCCCCTCTCAGCTATAAAGCGCAGTGATAGAAAGCAATTATTCAGATTTGCTGACTAGAAAAAGAGATTTCTTTTCCCATTCATCTTACAGTAAATTAGTCAGCCAGGGATAAGAAGCAGTGGTGAGCATGAGGGAAAAAGAAATGCAGTGAGTAGCTAACATGGTGGTATTGCTTGTGCAGTTCCTGGGAGACCGAAGACATAAGAACGGCCAGACTGAATCAGACCAAAGGTCCATCTAGCCCAGTACCCTGTCTTCTGACACTGGCCAATGCGAGGTTCCCAGAGGGAATTAACGGAACAGGTAACCATCAAGTGATCCATCCCGTCGCCCATTCCCAGCTTCTAGCAAACAGAGGGTAGGGACATGAACTGCTCCAAGTAGGCTGGAAAATGACAATGACAAGCTTTCTCTCAAAGCTCAAAATGATCCTTTATTCCTGTATTATGATTATCACTGAATCAAAAGATTAGGGTTGGAAGAGACCTCAGGAGGTCATCTAGTCCAACCCCCTGCTCAAAGTAGGACCAACTAAAACTAAATCATCCCAGCCAGGGCTTTGTCAAGCCAGGCCTTAAAAAACTGTAAGGATGGAGATTCCACCACCTCCCTAGGTAACCCATTTCAGTGCTTCACTGCCCTCCTGGTGAAATAGTTTTTCCAAATATCCAACCTAGACCGCCCCCACTGCAACTTGAGACCATTGCTCCTTGTTCTGTTGTCTGCCACCACTGAGAACAGCCTAGCTCCATCCTCTTTGGAACCCCACTTCAGGTAGTTGAAGGCTGCTATCAAATCCCCCCTCACTCTTCTGCACACTAAATAAAACCAGTTCCCTCAGCCTCTCCTTGTAAGATTTAGGTTTGCAATAGTTCAAGTTCCATCATGGGTTGTAACATGTGAAAATGAGTGGGACACTGTCAAGCAGAGCCAGGCTTTTAGCATACACTGGGACCTTTTTTCTGGCTAAGACGAAACAATGAAGAACCACCGCTTTGCAGAGTCCTACTTGTCTTCTTAATAGCATTAAATGTAGTGCAGCCAGGTCAAGGTTTGTAATCAGGACGATATCCTGTTTCAAGAAGAGTCTGCTCACCATGTAGCTCCCTGATAAATCAGATGTGAATTCCTCCGGAAATGTATGTAAAGCTAGTCACCCCCATGATAACAAGTCCAGTTTTACACTGACTCAGGTGCTTCATCATTTGTTTATTTTTAAAGGATAAAAATACAAACAATTCTCTAAAAAAAAACATTACAATGCACAAGAATAGTCACCTCCTACAACATGGGAGACAAACAACAAACAGAGGAGAGGTCAGATGATAAATAATAAAGAGACACCTCCCCACAATCCTGTTTCGGTATTAATCAAACACTGCACACTGGAGAGTGTTAGTTCTAGATGTTCAAATCTGATACTGTGGGCCAGATTCTCAAAGCGGAGTCTCTTTGAAGGTCAGATGCCCACTGTTCTACTCCCCACTGCATGCCTCTCACATGGCTGGCCAGTTCTGCTGGCAGGTGATTGGGAAAGGGGAACAGAGCCATATCCTGACTCCTCACCTCCTTTGGTACGTTTCCCTGGGGAAACAGAGAGTAGGGGAGTAGAGTGGTGTGGCCCCTGAATGGAGTAAATTCTGCCTGTCTTTATATGGAACACACAAGCTGGGGTTGTGGGAGAAGGAGAGGCTCTTTATGTACTTCCCTAGCACTGGGCATGCGTGTAGGGGCCAGGCAAAATCCAACCTACAGAAAATATTTGGCTTATGTCAGCTGATACTAAACTAACTTAATAGCATTAAATGTAGTGCAGCTAGTTCAAGGATAGTAATCAGGATGATATCCTGTTTCAAGAAGAGTCTGCTCACCGCATAGCTCCCTGATAAATCAGATGTGAATTCCTCCAGAAATATATGTAAAACTAGTCACCCCCATGATAACAAGTCTAGTTTTACACTGATACAGGTGCTTCATCATTTGTTTATTTTTAAAGGATAAAAATACAAATAATTCTCTAAGAAATTGCTCTGGGCACTGATCAACCCATCTAACGGTGTATCTCCTTTGACTGATGGAGCAGCGATCACCATCTCAAAGGGATTAAGGGTCATAAACAGAGATTTTAGGTTAAATCAGGAAATGTTGTAATGAGATGCAGTCAAAATTAATGGCATGAAACAGAAAACAGTTACAGTGAGAGGCATCCAGAAAACAGCAGAGACAGGAACTCAGAAGAGACTAGGATATAAATAAAAGGACAGGTGTTCTCTTCAGTTGTGTAATGTGATGGAAACTCAGTAATTGATCTATAAATAGAAGAGAACAAAAGCAAAACATTCAGATAAGTACACTGAGGGCTAGATCTTCAGTTGGTGTAAATCCATGGACGTCAGTGTTATTAAGTGATTTACTCTGGCTGCATATATTTATGGTAAGCAGGGACAAAAATAGCATTTGTCCGAAAACATTCACCAAAGCGCCTAACGTTATGGACTACACTCTGTGGACAGAGTTGTGATAAACTGAAAATAAAAAAAGAAATAAGAAATGCAGACTACACCTGGACAACTATATTCTTTAACAGTTTCTGAATTAACTCACGTATTCAGAGTCTGTGTCCCAGTTACAGACAATCCTAAAAAAAAGAAAGGGACATGTTTATATTTTGCTTCATGGGTGTATTTTTGGAATGCCAGTAGCTAAATTAGAACAAATACTGAAGTCAACTGAGCTCAGCCTGAGAGATATCTGATCAGGTTACAGTGGTCACCCTTCAAACTTGGCTAGTTTTTCTGTAAATATAGTTACCTCAGTCTTTGCAGTACTACTGAGGGGATGTTCTTTAGTTTTTGATGGCAACTGGCAAATTTTTAACAGTGGCCATTCTACATATTGTATAGAAAAATGAACCAAAATGTGAGAGTTAAAATCTAAGTGAAAAATCATACTTCAACTCTAAAACCACTGAAGCTGAAATTTTAGCTTCAATGTGTGTAAAGTGAAATACTAGTCTCAATTTTTCCTGTTTCAAAACCCCTCTTCATTACTTATTACTGAGCTGAGGCTGGGTAATTTTCACTGAAGTGATTCATTCAACAGTATCTTTTTAAACATAGAAAATGAGGCGACTTTAATTTTTTCTTTTGGTAGAGCATTTACTCCAGTGAGCAGTTTCATAAATGAAGACTGACTCCATTTCTGTTCCAAGATTAGGAAGAAAACTCGTATGAGGAGAAGAGCGCTTTCTGGTTTTCCTAGGCCAACATCATTGTTGAATCTTATGCTTTAAGAGCTGACATTTCACTAAGCAGTTGAAAGTAAAAACTGTGTTTTCATTTGAAACTTATCATATAAAAGCTTTGGATGCTGTGTACAATTCAGCTTAAATATTAGTATCTACTGAAGGAAGTAATCACAGTCCTGGAGCTTTTCAGCACAACCCACTTTCATGCAATAGCTGTTATATACATATCACAGAGCCAGTCTCAGCATTCTCATTTACCTTATTGTCAAAGACTAAGCATCTGATCCTCAGCAACTATAAATCAGCATAGCTCCATTGACTTTAAAAGAACAATACCAATTAAAGTCTGCTGAGGCTCTGGCCTTAAAACTCTCTCTTAAAGCAGGATCTTTCCACTTGTCAAGTGGTACTAAAATAACTGCAGTTGAAAGTGTTTTCCTCCCACTGTCGCTAAATCTAAAATCCTATAAAGGAGCTTGCTTCAGATCTATTCATGTGTCTCAGCGTCCATTGTTCACATTTGCAGGTGAGCAGTCTCCTATAAGCCTAGTCTTTGCAAAGCTTTATATTTTAGTAGAGCATAATAGTACAAGATCTTTACTTGTATTGTGGAACAGTCCTACCTGGCTAAGAAATGATTTCTGCGCATAGCCAATACACATTGTTTAATTTAAACTTATTGATGGCTTTGGAAACATGTATATTCACAAAATTGAATGCCAGTAACCTTCCTGAAGATAACTGCAAGCCATGTGAGTGCATTATTTCTGAAGGACTAGCAGAGTCAGAAAGAGTTACATCACTTTAAATGGCATTCAATTAATTTTTTAACCAGCTAAAACCACCCCTTTGGTACATCCTGCCTGTTTTGGAACTGTATAGATTAAAATCCAATAAAACTAAGGTAAACGTCTTACTGGTTAGTAACGTATGGATCAGTTTTCCAAAAGAGCAGTAATGCAACATACAAATCCCTATCATATTTTTCAAAAATGGTAAGGCAATATACTTTGTCATAAATGACAACTCCTTAAATTTGCATCTTCACCAATAAAACTAGTTGTGATTAACAAGGTTTGAGCTAGTTGAAAAATGTTCAAATAGCTTTCATAATTTTTTGAAAAATGTCAACTATTGCACGAGCTATTTAAATAACAGCAAAGATTTTCATTATTTTTTTTAAGTTTTGCACAGCTGTACTCAAAATGCTTCATGAGAAACAAATGAAGAATTTACCAAGATTAAATCTGAACTGATATATAATGAAAACCCACTGGAACGGGGATAATATACTACTAATGATGATCTTTTGCATTTGTGTAGCAATTTCCATAAGACCTGTTTGTCCACCTCTTCATCCAATGGTTTAGTGCTTTCTTCCATGCTGTCCCTTTTGCATGAAATGCCCTTCCTGCGCTACTCTGTGAAGCCACTATCTTGTCCTCTTCCAGCTCCTTAAGATCCACTTCTGTTGTGGGTTGCAGTAGGAAATTACCAGGTGATATGGCCAGTAGGACTGACTTGTACCTATTTTATTTGAGTAGTTACATCTTATAAACCATCTAGCTATGCACATAGCTGGTCCATATCACCACATGTTCCTATCACTATTCCTTTTGTCCTCCCTCTCCCATTGCACCCTATTATCTGTTATATCCACATCTTGTCTGAAACTAGACTGTAAAATCTTTGATGAACAGGCTGTCTTGTACAATACCAAGCAGAACAGAGCCTGGGTCCTGACTGGGGCCTCTGATGTTAGACTAATACACATAATAATAAATAATCTGAGGATCTCAAAGTGCTCTGGAAGTGTTAATGAATTACATCTCACAGCATCTCGGTGGCCTGTGTAATTATTATTCTCATTTAACAGATGGGGAGTCTGAGGCTTAGAGAAGTGATATGAGATTAGAGGCAGCTTGTGGTGAAGCCAAGAATAAAATTTAGAGCTGGGCCAAAAGTTTGTCAAAATAATATTTCAATAACTAACACAACCAAAAAAAAAGTTACTAAAATGGTTGCAAAACACTTTGTATTTTCCTCCCAGTTCTACTAGAATCTGCATCTCTTGAATCACAATACTATCATTTAATAATCACCAGGTTGTGCTTCCTTCATATTGACAGTAAATCTGTCTTAAGTGTTGACAAGGGACTGACACAAATAGGTTGCCGAACAAAGGTGGATTAATAAACATGGAGTAGAATTGCACTCAGTATGTTTCGGGGTGGTTTCTGAAAACAGGAGATTTGATTGATGGCTAGGGTGTTCTCTTGTACAGGTATCAATGTACTGGAAGCATTACAAACAACACCCATGAGTTGGAAATATTTAATTCTGTCTGGTAGGTCTTGCCCACATGCTCAGAATCTAACTGGTTGCCGTATTTGGGGTTGAAGGCATTTCCCCTCGGTCAGATTGGCAAAAACCCTGGGATTTTAAGTCATTTTTTGCAGCATGGGGCACAGGTCACTTTCAGGTTTAAACGGTGGCTTTTCTGTAACTTTAAGTTCTTTATTGAAGTCTTCAACTCATGATTTATTAGCCAGAGGTTAGGGGTTTATCACAGGAGTGGGTGGGTGAGGTTCTGTGTCTTGCAATGTGCAGGAGGTCAGACTAGGTATGGGATTCTCAAACTGGGGGTCATGACCCCTCAGGGCGTCACAAGGTTATTATGTGGGGGGTCGCGAACTGTCAAGCTCCACCCCAAACCTTGCTTCACCTCCAGCATTTATAACAGTGTAAAATATATATATATAAAAGTATTTTTAATGTATAAGGGGAGCCACACTCAGAGGCTTGCTGTGTGACAGGGGTCACTAGTACAAAGGTTTGAGAACCACTGAACTAGGTGATCATAATGGGCCCTTCTGGTCTTGATGAGGCTAATTCCTTTCATTTGTTTAAGATGCAGTTATGCATAGCATGATGTTAGGAAATCAATTTTTAACTAAAATAAATAAATAAATAAAAGAGGAGAGGAGGTGTTAATGTACTTAAAAAAAACCAAGATAAAAATAAAATCCCAAACACATTAATAAAAAACTAGAATGAGCTTCCAGCTTTCTATGGTAAAATATCTTTAGAACCTATTCAGAACAGCACTCATTCCATGTACACTGACTGTATCCTTTTCTATGTAGAATACTGAATCCACACTAGGTAATGATGCTCTAATTACAGTATTGGAATGGCCTAGTGCACCCACAACATACATTCCCAGCACTGGCCGTGCTCAGGTGATTGCATACAGTCCAGGGGGCTGGCCATTCCACTGAAATGAGTACTTTACTGCTACAGTGGAGTACAGTCAGACCAATACATTTCTACCTGTGACCTGCTGTTGAATGTGCTTTCTGACCTCGCTCCTTGATTTCCCCCCACCCCTATTTCCCCCACAGTTGACTGCATGGAATGGAGAAGAGGAGATGGCACCTCACCTGCTCCACTTCAGAGGCAGCAAACGCCCCTTACAAGTTTGTTTCTCTGTGAGATGGCACCAAGTCATTCCGCATATGTTTGCGGGCTTGTGAGATGTGCAAAGTTTACAAATACGTCAGTGAAACTTCCTGCTGGATTCAAAGGGCACAACTGAAATCTTTTAAAAAATGTTAGACATCTCTAGTGTGATACTACTTGATTTGTCTGTCAGGCATCTAAGGTATGCAGTGTTGTTGGCAGAGACCTGGAGAGCTCTGTGGAAGCTCAAAAGTTTCTCTCTCTCACCAGCAGAAGTTGGTCCAATACAAGATATTGCCTCACCCACCTTGTTTCTCTCAAAACATCTAATGTACCTTCCTTTAGAATATGTATGAGACCCTCATTTTCAAACCGTACTACCCCATATAAGACATCAAAACCCATATTTAGGCAGTTAAATAAGTGGCCAAACTGTCATAGCTTCTGGGTCCTACAGCCCGCCCACACCTGCGGCTTTCTGTGAGAAGAAAGCATTGCAGAAGGCACTTGTTCAGCTGCTCCCAAATGTAGCAACCAACTGGCACCATTAACATGTGTACATTGTTTAGAATGCGGTAGCATCCAAAGCGCACAAAACGCTTTCCAAACACAGATGGAGACAGTGCTCTGAAGAGCATACAAAATATCCGGTGATGTGCAATAGCTGTTTTTGATTGCATGCAAAACATGCTACAAGCTTAGCCTCTGATGGGAATTCTTGACAGCTCTCCAGCAATGATCTGCACTACACTTAGTCCAAGGGCTTCAGATTCTACTTTCAATCCCTGAAGACAGGGACTGACAGAGGGAAAAAATATGATCTCCATAATAAAGTACAATATGACTGGTTATTATAGAACCCGACAGGGGTTCACTGTGTGGAAGCTAACAATTGGCTAGACTGAACAAACTGCACAAAGCCTTGCTCCCTGGTGTGCAGAGAGATTGCAAGGGCTGGACCTCCCACCCCACCCATCCCCTTACACTGGTAGACTCTACTCCTCTGGTTGCACTGAACTGATGAAGAGGGGAAACAGAGCTGGGGCTTTGCTATCTCCCTGCCTGCTTTAGTGTGATATGAGCTCCCGTCAGTGCAGGTAAGGAGCAGCCCTCAAGTGCCCCTAAAAGCAGAGACTGTGATTGTGATCATGCTTTGCCAGCACATTGCAAATGGTGGAGAAGGCTTCTTGGGCAAGCCCCACTTTCCCTATCAGACTTAATATTTTTAAAATGTAGGGTAGCCATAAAAAAGTATACCACATTTTAAGTGGCTTCACTTCCCACTGCAAATGTTACATTGACAAGGGACTACTTTTTTCCTTATAATATATGATAATGAATCTCAAAACTAGGGTTAGAAGTCTTCAGGTTTTCTTCATTGTTTCTAAAATAATTTGGAAATACCTAAAACATGATGCAGTGTGAAAACTGAAATGTTTCTTTTTCATTTAAATCTTTTGATTACTGCACGTCTGCATTTATGTATTCATTTTCAAAGACTTAATTTAGACAATCTGAAGTTCTCTAACCCAGGTTTTTAATTCCCATCAGTTTCAAGCTGATTTGAGTAATCCCTCTATAAGGCTCTGTATTAGGACCAGATTTACAATACCTCAATCAAAGTTTGATTGAGGTACTGTAAATCTGGTCCTAATACAGAGACTTAGAGCTGCAATTCAGATCAGCTTGAAATGGTTGGGACTTCAGGCAAACATATGTTCAATAGAAAAACCTTCTACACAAAACATGCCTTCCTGAAAGCTGACCTGCAAAGAATTTCTTTAAAAGTGGGAATTGTGTCCTTTCCCCTCTTTTATGACGTATAAAGTGAGTGATATTTTTTAAAAAAATTCCTGATTGTTATTTACATTTAGAACTATCAGAGAGACTTTGGTCTTCCCTGGTTTTGCTGAAGAACCACTGGGAGGGCTCTGGGACGTTTATTTTGAGTTTTTAACTGAAGGAGAAAGGGTGTTGAATCTTTAACATAGGGCTCCTTTATCAAATATGTCAATTAGTCATTGAAGGAAAATAGATGCTAAAAACAAACCCCGAAGTATAAAACAGTCTGACTAAAAATCCCTTTTCCCCCATAATTGCTGAACATTCACTTACGTGGCTTACATTATTTCACCACTTCTCCTGCCATCATAGAATCCTGCGGCCTAGATGGGATCTGAATTTCTAGTGTGAAAAAACAAAAGGAAAACACAAAACAAAACTTTTTTCAAACACTTTTCCAGGCACCCTTTATAGATCAAAAAGAAAGGGAAAAAAAGGGGTGGGGAGAAGGCAGGCATTAACCTAGTTTATTTTTCTTTGCAGATGACCTTTATCAAAGTATATTTATTTAAAAGGTAAGCAACTCTTTTTGAATGTGCTTTGTCCCACATTTTACCAGGAATTTCACATTCACTGTTGATGTTATATATGGTAGCAACAAGACTTCACATCCATGATATTTAAGTTCAAGAGAGACAGGTTCCTGGAAGAGACTGTTTTATAATTATTTCTGGTCTGTTTGCCATTATATTTTCCGGGACTCCTGTAACAACCACTTGAGAGAGACATTTATTTCCTTGACAATACGCATCTCAAGTATGTAGCCCATATATCTGACACAGGCTATGTCATCATCGCAAAAAAAGGGGTGAAATCAATGGGAATTAGCTGTCTAATTAACTCTTAGGATCTGGGCCTGTACTTTTACTGTCAGAGAACTAGACAAGGTCAACCATGGGTAGTATTGACCTTGCCTAGCTACCTCACAGTAAAAACTACATGTGCCTTGTCTCCACTAGGAGTTTGTAGCGGGAGAGCTAATGGTGTGTTAGATAGCCTAGGGTTAAAACCAGCTAAATGTGCACCTTTTTTTGGACAGAGAAGACAAAGCCTGAGAGAACCCATGAAAGAGTCTCTGATGAAGTCTTGCTAAGCCTGACACCCTCAGAACTGCAACGACTGACAATGAGGGTATGTCTTCAGTAGACTGTTGCATCTAGCATTAACTGATTGCCAGCAAACTTGAGGTAGCTAACACGTTTGTAAAAGCTAGTATGGACACTCCCCAAAAGCATGATCCAGGTTACCAAGGCTGATCTTTTCCCTAGGATAAAGACGCACGTTAGCTACCTCAAGTCAGTTGGCAGTCAGTTAACTCTGGGTACAAAAGTCTAGTGAAGGCAAGCACCCAGAGACAATGCATGAGACGAGAGAAGCACTTGATCTCGGTGAGAGGACAAGAAAACATGGATTCACTAAAAAGTACAGAGGGCCTAACGCTGGTATGTGCTGAGCTCCCACAACTCTCACTGACTAATCAGAGTTGTGTACTTACCCTTACCCAAGAGTCAGATCTTAAGGCCCTAGGTGTGAATTTTCCAAATTCCCCAGGAATATTATAGTTTACCTGATGCCTCTTCTGAGCAATGCCAAGTTGTAGCTCACTAGTCATAGAATCAATCATAGAATCATAGAATATCAGGGTTGGAAGGGACCCCTGAAGGTCATCTAGTCCAACCCCCTGCTCGAAGCAGGACCAATTCCCAGTTAAATCATCCCAGCCAGGGCTTTGTCAAGCCTGACCGTAAAAACCTCTAAGGAAGGAGATTCTACCACCTCCCTAGGTAACGCATTCCAGTGTTTCACCACCCTCTTAGTGAAAAAGTTTTTCCTAATATCCAACCTAAACCTCCCCCACTGCAACTTGAGACCATTACTCCTCGTTCTGTCATCTGCTACCATTGAGAACAGTCTAGAGCCATCCTCTTTGGAACCCCCTTTCAGGTAGTTGAAAGCAGCTATCAAATCCCCCCTCATTCTTCTCTTCTGCAGGCTAAACAATCCCAGCTCCCTCAGCCTCTCCTCATAAGTCATTTGTTCCAGACCCCTAATCATTTTTGTTGCCCTTCGCTGGACTCTCTCCAATTTATCCACATCCTTCTTGTAGTGTGGGGCCCAAAACTGGACACAGTACTCCAGATGAGGCCTCACCAATGTCGAATAGAGGGGAACGATCACGTCCCTCGATCTGCTCGCTATGCCCCTACTTCTACATCCCAAAATGCCATTGGCCTTCTTGGCAACAAGGGCACACTGCTGACTCATATCCAGCTTCTCGTCCACTGTCACCCCTAGGTCCTTTTCTGCAGAACTGCTGCCTAGCCATTCGGTCCCTAGTCTGTAGCGGTGCATTAGGTTCTTCCATCCTAAGTGCAGGACCCTGCACTTATCCTTATTGAACCTCATCAGATTTCTTTTGGCCCAATCCTCCAATTTGTCTAGGTCCTTCTGTATCCTATCCCTCCCCTCCAGCGTATCTACCACTCCTCCCAGTTTAGTATCATCCGCAAATTTGCTGAGAGTGCAATCCACACCATCCTCCAGATCATTTATGAAGATATTGAACAAAACCGGCCCCAGGACCGACCCTTGGGGCACTCCACTTGATACCGGCTGCCAACTAGACATGGAGCCATTGATCACTACCCGTTGAGCCCGACAATCTAGCCAGCTTTCTACCCACCTTATAGTGCATTCATCCAGCCCATACTTCCTTAACTTGCTGACAAGAATACTGTGGGAGACTGTGTCAAAAGCTTTGCTAAAGTCAAGAAACAATACATCCACTGCTTTCCCTTCATCCACAGAACCAGTAATCTCATCATAAAAGGCGATTAGATTAGTCAGGCATGACCTTCCCTTGGTGAATCCATGCTGGCTGTTCCTGATCACCTTCCTCTCATGCAAGTGCTTCAGGATTGATTCTTTGAGGACCTGCTCCATGATTTTTCTAGGGACTGAGGTGAGGCTGACTGGCCTGTAGTTCCCAGGATCCTCCTTCTTCCCTTTTTTAAAGTCCTCCTTGGCCAAGGCAGAAATATTAAAGGAATGAGGAGAAGCACTAAAATGTTATAGGACTGGCAAACATGGGTGACAGTAATCCCAGGTTGAGACTTAGAGGAAGTGAACTGAACTGAGACCTTGATCCATGCCTCAAAAAGCCAAGGTGGCAGGGATGGCTAAAACAGAGTGACCAAGCCTCCTCCTTATCCAGGATCCCCAATGCCAGCGGGACAGATCTCAAGCTTCCACATTCTTCTTCTTCTGTCTTCCTTCCGTTTCTTAGGTGGTGCAGCAAGCACATAGCGAGGCAGGCTGATTCCTGAGATGGGCTCCAAGCTTCCAGGGATAAGAGTTAGAGAAGACTAGTTGAATCAAGCATGAAATGAATGGTGCCTTTTTTGTTCTAGTAGTCATGGGTTTCTCCTATCATATCACTCACACCAACGTAAATCAAGAGTAACTCCACTGAAGTCAATGTAGTTACATGAAAGTAAAACAGGTGTCGGTGAAACAGGTCACATATCTACCTATCTTTTTCTAGTTATTTTGTGGACACTTGTGGTTTTATAGACTTGCTTTTCTGCTCTTCCTGAAATGGAAAGTTCAGTGTGGGGATATTCATACATTGTCTCAGAATCTGTTCAGGAGAAAAACCACTTGTCATGTGCCTTGTCTTCTGAACCTTTAGGTTAAGATTCAGAGAGTTCTACTTCCTTGAAAGGGAAAGACGAGATGCTAGAGGCCAAGGAGTGCATGTTTCTATGTTTTGATGGATTTTTATTGAGTTTTTCCTGGATTTTCCTATTTGGTAAAACTTAATGAACTATGAGATTTCTTGTTTTCTCTCTACACCCACACACATGAAGTCTTGCTTGTCTTCTGCGGAAGGACAAGTACCAACCTCTCCCATTTTAATTTTCTATGATTTGTTTACTTTCTTAAATTTATGTAACGAGAGGCTGTTGCTAAGCTTAATTCCTGTGGCAATTACTTTTTCCCTGGTAGAGGCTTCTAGGCACTGCTAAAATACAATAATAAATAATAATCACCTGGGCTAAATGTTTCTCCCAATAGCTCTGGTCATTTTTTGCTTGGAGAACTTGGTCATAGGGTGCTAGAGACTTCTATCTGGATGCAGTATAGCAACCCCACCATCTTTAGGACATGCAATCAAGCTAAAAATCAAACCTGGGTCAGATCCTCAGCTGCTATAAATTGGTATAGTTCTGTTGGAGCTGCAGTGATCTACACTACTTGACAATCTGGCCCTTTATGCTTCTGGAACACATCCAGGAGGGCAGTACAGAATGAGCAGCTTTGTTTCATTGCAGATGGACATTTAAGAGGAGGGAAAGCAAAGAGAGAAGCAGGAAATGATGTCTTCATTCGCACAGCTCATACCCCCTTCCCTATACATCTACCCCCTGTTTCTAAAAACACAGGCAGCCAGTTTAACACTCTGCTGCTGGAACACTGGAGCGTGAACATTCTTTTTCTCATCCAGAGCTTTTAAAACAATGCAGAAAAATATCACTTCTCCTAGGATCAGTGAGGGAAGAGACTGCTGCAGAAGTAGTGATCTGAGGCAGCTGATTAGCTGTGGCCTTTGGAGTAACTGCTGCTTTGTCTGAGCACTCAGTGAGGACTTTACCTTCCCTGCCAAGTCTGAGGCAAGAGAGCTGCTGAGGCATTTACCGTATTACTGGCCTTGAAGTGCAGAGGCCTTGGATTCATCAGCTTGCTCCTCAGAGAACTAGCCTCACAGTTGGGTGGGAAAGAGAGCAGCAGCTGATGTGTCATTTGCTGGAGCGTCAGCCTTCAGGCTTGAAGAGGCCTCAGAGTTGCCATGCTGGTCAATGGAGTCCTGGCCTAATCACCACCTGGATGAAGCTGTTCAGAGACACCAGCACAGCCTCAGTGCTAGGGGTTGGAACTGATCTGCTGAAAGAAAGGCACAAATCCCCTATGTACATGGATTGGGGGGGGGGGGGAACGGAGGGAGGGGGACTCATAGGCTGAACACTCCCTGAGGTATATACAGGCCAATGAGCTTGTGGGTCTGTCTTGTTAGCCATGTTAAAAGTCTCCCTGCCAGCTGAGCAGCTCTGCTGAGGTGCCTTAGCTAATGGAGAAAACAAGGCTCTCTAACTTCAAGTGCAAGACATTGGGGCAGTCTAGGAATTGAGTTAAGTAAACTGTCAGGTGGCCTAAGGCTTGTGGTAGGTCAAATTGTTTTTCATTCATGTGTTATGCACTGGGTATGATGTTCTCCTCCTGCATTCCCGCACCAGTGCTGTAACCTCACACATACTGCAGGGACTTCTTTGTAATCGCTCCTCCCAGCCACTGCACTGGGTTGCTGGACATCTGAACTCTCGCGGGAAGACTGTGACCATGCGTACATGACAAAGTTTTGCCAGCATAGCTATGTCAAGTTAGGAGTGTGAAAACCATGCCCCTAAATGACATAGTTATGTTGGAAACCCTGTTCTCTCTCTCTCTCTCTCTCACCACCACCCCCTCTCCCCCCACACACCCCATATAGGCACAGCTTATCCTAGCAAGAGTTTTCTTTTGGCAGTATGCCTGATGTCATACAATTTTAACTATACCAGCAAAAGAACTCCTTTTTCCCCACATACACTGTCTCCAGTATGGGATATTGCTGGTATAACTGCACCAGCAAAGCCTTTCAAGGATATACTAGTGCAGGGTCTCCTCTAGTCTCAATGCTCTTTATCAGGGGTGAGAAGGAGAAGGGGGGTGTTGAAAGGGGATGGATGGGGAGGCAGAGATTACTCCTGGCCTTGCTCAAACGAGCCAATGACACTGGTTATGTCCTCAGGCTTGCCTGCCCTTCTCCTGTCTCTCTACCCATAAAGCTCCTAGGTTACCTCCCCTATGGGCTGCCTAGATTCCCTCCAATATCTTGATCCTGACTGACTTCTCCAGTCAACCATGACTCCCATAAGCTGCCCCTCCTTCTGCCCAGCCCTCCAGTGCCCTGTAGTGAGCTATGAGTTACAGACTTCTGCTAGCTCCCACCCAGTCCAACTGCTTGGGCGGCATGGTGAGGGAAAAAGAGGTGACTATTTCCCACCGATGGGAAATGTTGTACAAAGAGCTACATAAAATTTAACAGATTTAAATTTGAGTGGTGGCGAAGGACTCTGTGCCATGAAGGAAACAAATCTGCCAGTGACCCAAAGCAGGATGATTTAGTCCCCACGATATGAAAATGGGTTTGGTTTTAGAGACAGATTATCCCTATGTAGAACAGGCAATCATGGCAAATCTGCTTGCCTTTTGGTAGATGAAGCTATTACATAGTGCGGGTGGAATAGCTTGGCAGGCTGAAGCAGAGGAAAGACATGCAAAACTTAACTTAGCAACCAAGTACCTGTGTGTTCCAGGAATGTTAGTAACGGCTTAATTTCTGTGCCATCACTTCCACCTACAGAACACATTTCAGCATTGCAACATTAATTAAAGAGCATGAAAAACAGATTTAGATTGGAATATCTAGAACAGCTTAAACCACCACAGGAGTTTCAGGCTTTTGTAATTAGTATACCCAGCTTTCCCTCCCCGACAAACCTCTATCCTGGATCCCACTACGTTACTGCCACCCACCTCCTCTTCATTTGTACACATACTAACCCACGTTTGAGGCTGCCTGGTTCCCAGTCTCATGATCGTAAGACAAGTTGCATTGTTAGAGCACACACAATTGAACGAGAGGATAGAAGAGCTGAGGGCTCAGTCTGGTAAACCAGTGCAGTTAAAAAAAAAAAAAAGAGTTAGGAACCACTGTCAAATGTTCGCTAGGAGCAGCTCCATCAGGTCTGCTAGTAGGAAACGCTTCTCCAAATCCTCAGGCGAGGTTGTATATGTCCTTTCACAGACTTCTGTTTGTGCTGCATGCTGGGTCCTCTTCTTTGGGTTTCAATCCAACACCTACAGCAGAAAGAGCATGTGTGTCAGTCACCTACTATTGTACTCAAATTTTATATAAAAAGCATCTGAATAGTCATAACCCTTATGCTTTTACCAGCTAAAAACTGACCGCTGTTCATGCCTGCAATCATTCCAATGTTGTTGTGTCAAAACAAATCTAATGGTATAAGAAAGAGAAGCAGTTCAGTATGGATTCAGGATTTACCCTGAGGATTTTACAAATATAAAGCATTTTTTTAAATCATTGCAGGCTCTCTCCCAAACCATCCATCAGGTATGGAAGGACTCACTCTTCAAAGCCAAAATGATGTGTTCAGTGTTCATGTGTACATATGATTTATTAATGCAATGAATGTAGTTTAGCTGAGGAAGTAGTAGATGGGTACCAGCTATCTTCAGGTTTGCAGTTCAGTCCTTCTGCATATTTAATTTTACCTCATCTTTGCTAATTAATTTTAACTAAAATGCAGAGGTTATGATGAAGGGTTGTCTCCATACAACTTCCTCTCTTTCAGAGGAAAGCTTGAAAATAGCAGAGCACATTCCTTCAAAGGCAAACGATGCTGATTTAGCTCACACCAGCAGTATGTTCACAAAAAACAAACAAACAAAACCAAAAACAATCCCCTGCTGCTGCGGAGGGTGAGAAAACCTGGATTTGTGTGAAAAATACTGGAGACTTCAAGTATTTAAACAATAATGGGCTGTTGTTAATGGGCTGTTAATGGGCTAGTCTCCTGCTGGCTGCCACAATTCTACTGAAAAGTGACTGGGTGAGAGCTGTTGACTAAATAGGCTCTAGCCTTCATCCTACAGGTTTTACAATAGGAAGAAAGCTCTTTATAAGAACTCCCTACATGTAACTGTAAAGTCAGCAAGCACCTACATACCAAAAGAGCAGAATTTGCCCCTCATTATTAATGCACTATTTAAACCGTACACAAATAAAGTGCTATCATGGTTATCTCTTGGAACATTGAGAAGTAATCGCCAACTCCTAGTCTAATGACAGGTTTCAGAGTAACAGCCGTGTTAGTCTGTATTCGCAAAAAGAAAAGGAGTACTTGTGGCACCTTAGAGACTAACCAATTTATTTGAGCATGAGCTTTCGTGAGCTACAGCTCACTTCATCAGATGTATACCGTGGAAACTGCAGCAGACTTTATATACACACAGAGAATATGAAACAATACCTCCTCCCACCCCACTGTCCTGCTGGTAATAGCTTATCTAAAGTGATCAACAGGTGGGCCATTTCCAGCACAAATCCAGGTTTTCTCCCCCTCCACCCCCCCCCACAAATTTGTGGGGGGGGGGGTGGAGGGTGAGAAAACCTGGATTTGTGCTGGAAATGGCCCACCTGTTGATCACTTTAGATAAGCTATTACCAGCAGGACAGTGGGGTGGGAGGAGGTATTGTTTCATATTCTCTGTGTGTATATAAAGTCTGCTGCAGTTTCCACGGTATACATCTGATGAAGTGAGCTGTAGCTCACGAAAGCTCATGCTCAAATAAATTGGTTAGTCTCTAAGGTGCCACAAGTACTCCTTTTCTTTTTGCGAACTCCTAGTCTAGTTTTCCAAGAGGGCATGTCTCAAGCAGCCTTTTTCCAGCAGGCACACAGTTTTCTAAGAGTTAACCCGCTATTAACCTCTTAATTCCAGCATGTCACCACAAGCTCTCTGAATACTTCTTGATGCAACAACTTCTTTGAAAGAGCACATGCTGTGGTGAAATCCTGACCCCACTGAGGCAATGGCAAAAGTCCCATTGACTGCAGAGGCGTGAGAATTTCACCCCCCAGGTACTTTTTGTAACAAGGTACATTATGAGCAGTGTACCTGGTACATCTGGCAACAGCACTGTGATTAAAACAGAACTGAGCCTTTTTTTCTTTAAGAATCTGATTGTGCAGTTTCACAAATGAGGCCTTAAAATGAGGTGCTGTCTGTGGGAGTTTCAGGATTGCCAACTGTAATAAAAATAAATGCATGTTTCAGTGAACTTCTGGGTTAAGTAGGTAAAGTTTATTTTCATATGCAGAACCTTAAATTAAAATACAGTAAATTGCACCCTGCTGTTTTAATTCAGCAAGCATTCTGCTTGAGAAAGTTTCAGTGTATATACTTCAATTTATTTACAGAATTTAATGTATCATCTGATATAAGGGACATATAAAAACCTCAGAAAAGAAGTAGGCATCAACTATATCTTCATCCATTTACACATTTCCCAATGAAGTCCATCAACAGCAACAAGAGAAAAGTGGTTTTAACAAATGAGAGACAGCTGGTTGAAGGTTAAATATGTGGATGGCTAAGAAAGTTAAATTAAAAGGTTATGCAACTTAAGTCATCCAGACAATACTAAACACCAAAAACAGATTAAGGTTATAATGCAGCTGGAAATTAGCGGCGGTGAAACCCCCCCTAAAATACTTCAAGGTATAGCTGACAAACAACCTCAACTGATGTGTTCATTTAGACTAGCAGAGAGCCAGCTTCTGGTTCCCCAAGATTGCTCTGTACCATTTTGACAATGCAAAACAGCCTTAACATTGGCTTAACTAGACTCTTAGTCACGGGGAAAGCCCTAGGTGTCATAGTTGGCTCCATGCCATCCCCTGTGCACTCCCAGATCTAGCGAACATAGCCAGGGACCTGCAATCTCCACCCAATACCTGAGGTCAAAATGGCCCATGGAGCCAAGAGGCAGCTGAACATAAGCTATAACAAGGCAGACTGTTTCTTTCATGGACCGACCAGACCAGCACCTCTAAGATCAGGGCAGTGCAAAGATACCTCCTCTCCTTTGCCTGCCCCCCAATCCCAGAGCAGCACCAGGTACAGCATGGCCAATCCCCACAATCTTGCTGTTACAGTCTAAAACTTTAGCATGCTTATAATTCAAAAAACAAATACTTTCCCTCTTCAATATATCTAATTACTTAACAATATATAGTATAGAAATAATACCAGCAAAAGACAGCTCATTTGTTGGCTTCATAGTTACATTTCACGTATCCATTTCAGTCACTTTGGCTAAATCCAGAATAAATTAATTCACTTCTACTGGTACAAGTAAATGCTGCATAGAATTACATTCATAAGAGCCCTTAGAAAAAAAGAAAGTAACTTTAAGATGAGAACTAAAGCACCTGTAAGTCAAGAAATGTATAAAAGCTCAGCCTCAAAAGGTGACCAGCAAAAATGGCCATTCTGTTTGTTTGCTTATGATGTATGTGTAAGCAGGAGCTGAATGAATGCTTCCCTGACAACTAGTTAAAGGGTGGGGTGGGGAGACTTTGGGTGTGTTTATGTAAATACAGTTTGCTCCTGCCCTGCTTAGATATTCAGCAGATAGAGCGGTGTCAAAGTAATCAACGTTGGGTTACAAATCACCGTAGTACTGAATGCAGGGGTGGTGAAATGTTGTTACCAATGTTTATTTATTGTAGAAATACAGGAAAGCATGGTTGTGCTTAACCTGTCCCAAGTAAGGGGGTCACCCTCATTTGAAAGAGCCTCGTTAAGCCAGGGGCTCAAATGCCAGATGCCTAAGAAAATAAGAGGGGTGAGGCCAGGTGTCCTAGCCAGGAGACTGCAAATCCTCTCCAAGGGTTCTTCCTGGACTAGTTAAACCTGTTCTTCCCCACTGTTTAAATAGGCTTCATTAGGATCCTGTTTATTATTTTAAATGCTCAATCAGAGCTGAAACATGTTTCTATCCTGCCTGCTAAGAGCTTAAAAATCAGTAAGATCTGAAATCATTTGAGATGGGGCCTATAAAGAGCTGAAAATTACTAAGAGACTGATGTGCAGAGGTTACAGCAGAGAGGCAGGGGGAAGCAGAAGGTGACTGACAGTCAACTGGCAAACGAGTGTCTGGTAAGGCACAGCATACAGCCAGCAGGGCGGCTGGGGGAGAGGCTAGTGGAGTGGCTGGCAGAGAGTGTCCCCGCAGAGAGGGTTGGCAAGTGAGAGCTTGAGCAGTCGAGGGAGTAAGGTGCTTTACCTCCCCACTCTCCACCCAGGGTGGGAGGTGAACTCTGGGTCTGCACTGCCAAGGACAGCAACTGTGAGTGGGACGCAGAGAAGGGTCAGGCACATGAAAGGGACTTTTGGGTTAGTGAACTTGAGGGGAAAAAGGACACTGCCCAAATTACTTGCTCATCGTTTATGTTTTTATGAACCCTGGTTGCAGTGTTTTTCCAAATTAACACCCAGTTACTTCCCTCCTTTTATTAAAAGTTTCTTTTCTACACTCAGACTCTGTGCTTGTGAGTGGGGAAGTATTGTCTCTCAGAGGCACCCAGAGGTGGTGTGTCATTTTCCCAGGTTACTGGGTAGGGGTTCAGGTCGGTTTTGTGTTGTATTGATGGAAAGGAAACCCTAGATATTGAACCCGGCCCTGGTTGCTGCTGGCTCCACCTGACAGAAGGGTACATAGCTAGAATGCCTGAAACGTCTGGAGTTTTTTTCCTTCTAAAATTTTTCCCTGCTGGTTGTTTTTTTTCCTATTACAAGTTTACATCCTGTTTTCCACTTTGGAGGACTCTATGGCCTCTAAGGACAAAAGGTAAACTTTTAACATGTGTTGAAATCCTTGCATAGACAAAGCAGCTGTGGTTTAACACATTAGCTGGTTGAGGTAAAACCTGTGGGAGACTCTCAGGTTCACTTTGACCAGCTCCCACATGTTAAAACTACAATTGCCTTGTGTACAGTAGGATTTTAGCATGTTTGTGTTAACATGTTAAAAAAACAACCCCCTACCATTTCTCCCAGTGAAGACAAGACCTCAAATACATTGTCCATACTAAGACTCAAATCCTCAAATACTTGATCATTTCTTAAATTTATTTGCAGTGGGAAGGACTGTCAAGGTTCCTCCCCCACTTTGAACTCTAGGGTACAGATGTGGGGACCTGCATGAAAAACCTCCTAAGCTTATCTTTACCAGCTTAGGTCAAAACTTCCCCAAGGTACAAAATATTCCA